TAAATTTGCTGTAAATTTGCTGTAAATTTGCTGTAAATTTGCTGTAGTCATTTACAGATGTTCCGAAATTGCTGTAAATGATGACTACAACAAAGGAAGGACTGCTTGTTGCTGTTAAGAAAACGTTTATTACAAATTGGAGGCACGAGAAAGTGAGGCGTAGTGATTTTAAACGTTATCCAAAATAGATAGCTACAGCATACTAGTCTACCGTATAGCCTAACAGTAGGACATCTAGTTTATTCACTCTGGTGGTACAGTATTTGCTTCAAAGATAGGATGCCCATGGTCCATCGCATACTGGACAAGAACAGCCACCGCTTCAAAACCATAGACATGATTATCGGGATCGTGATGGTATGTATAAAAGAGGATTCTGTAATCCTTCAGTCGACCATTCAAACTCTCGTGCCTTGACCGGAGACGAGACTTGAAGTGAATAGTCCCAAAAATCAACGCTGTCGACAGTCAAGAGGATTGTTCTTCCCCGATTATTCCGCTCTTCTTCCGGCCAGCTGATCACCTTTTCTTTGAGTCACCCAATCACTTTTAACCAATGCCACAGCTTCTCGCGTTGGACCATTTGTTCGCTTATTCCAATTATGGTGGCTTTTTCAGGATACTCCCAGAGAAAGTGGATTGCACCTAGCAATCGCTTAATTCCCTCCTCGCTCTTGTCTGATGGGAGAAGCCCCAAGTCTTTGTTCTTCAAACTCATAATGTCTTCCCAGAGATGGCAGAAAGCGCTGGGGGTTGTGCCAAAGTGAGCCTTGAAAACAAAGATGTTATGCTCAGTGTAGTCGTCGGCCGTAATCGTAGGTAGACTCCCAATACTTTCAAATCCGTAGAACAACACCTGTTCTGGTGTCACTACATTTTCAACCATCCCAATGTCTTCTGGCACTGCACATAGCAATCAAAGTGATGTTGGATGGCAAAGAATGCATACTGCAAGAAAGAAGCTCAGATTCAATTTCGAGAAATTTTTAAATTTGAAAAAAAAAAACAGTTAAATCGCGTGCATGTACTGCTGGCGACTCCAACGATTTTGTTGTGGTCATCATTTACAGCAATTTTGGAATATCAAATTGCTGTAAATGATGACCACAACAAAATAATACAAAGTCGAAAAGTCAAACCGATTTATTTTGTCTACTTAACAAGTTTTGTGAATGTTGAACATTTGAAGTCGTAGAAGGCACTCACAGATTTTTCCTAAGTAAAGCCTTTAATTGGAGTTTCGTGCAGAAGAGGGTGACAATGACCACATGGACTCTTAAAAAACGAGAAAAATCTGGTTTTACAACAAATTGTGGGGTATCCCAGCATGGTACCTGCCAGACTTACTGAAGGATATATCATTACCGCGCATTTCCGCACGAAACGTGTATCAAAATCATATACTTTTCCGCAATACCTGAAAATCATCCACCATACGATTACTAGTGAAATTTTAGTTCCCACATGGTATTGCGGAAAAGTATATCGGCACTCCGGGTTACGAATACACGATGCGAATTCAAGTCGGGATGCATTTTGTTACGTAGAAATCGTACTAATTTGCACGTAGACCAGAATACTGGTGTGGTTTCAGATATGCGATACTCGTACCCATGTAATATGGGTATAATACGAAAACATCAAACATCAATATCGATGGAACGAACAAATGAAAGAAACGAGACATGAGAAACCAAGATATTTATGTGTAAATGTAATACCTCTGGCCTCGCTGTGGATTTTCTAAATCATGGCTCACTGCAAAACCTGTACCAGGTAAGGGTTGGTGGCATCGCTTTTGTCAACCCATCATCCGCTGCATGGACGGTATCGTTTAGTCGGAGCAAACGAAATGCTGCGCGACACCACAATATTGCGCGATATTTTTACGTGGAGTAACACCACAAAAATCCGAAACATCCATTGCATCTATTGCAATACAGTATCGTAGAAAACTACAGCCAAAAGACCAATAAATAGTAACAATAATACGAATACTAGAGTGTAGTGTTAGATAGGTCCACTAAGTCCATCAATGTGCTCCCTGTTAGCCTTCTTGGCCGCCAAAGATGGCAAACTCCAATTGACACTTGCCTTGGAGGCGAGGCTCTTGCAGTCTTTGTACCCCAATCCAAAGTTGCTATCGTTGTGCCAATCCACAGAGCACGATTTACCTTTGTGCATTCCCTTAGCTGGGAAGTTGTGTAAGGGTACTTTGCAAATGGTGCATCGTTGGTATGCCTTCTCGCCGCACCAAGCACACTTTGAACCTGAAGAGATCGAAGCTCCTTTCTCAAGGAATGATGCTAGGTGCTTTGACAGCTCAGTATGGTTGAAGGCACCACATAATCGTTTACTCTTCCTGGCATTGTCCAACTCGTCAATCAAAACACAGTGCTGACCACCAGTACTGACGGACACCGCAGTCTGGCGAGATCTCTTGCTTGGGACCACATGAGTCTTGGAGCGTGCCTTCTTTGAAAGAACTGTAACAGAGCGAAATCCTGAATCACCTGGGTACATATTGAACCTTGGCTTGTATTGGAGCATCTGGGTTGACAGTCGGTCGCGGAACTGATGGAAAGTCATCGGCTTCACTAACTTCCAACTGGCATCCAAGCTCCCACTGCTGGCTTCCAGGTAAAAAGAATACGCAGTGACAATAGCAAGCCTAAGACCATGAAGCATTGCAGAATGCCAGTACTTCCTAGAACGGTATTGGATTTGAGTGCCGGCCATCATAGCATCATCAGTGTCGATCCTACCGTAGTGGCTGAGGTAGAGGGTCCTTGCGGGATTATTCTCGACACCCCAGATTCTCTTTTCTTTGCCAACACCTCTCTCTTTCTTGACAACATAGAGTCGACTAGAGTTAATAGCATTAACAGTGGAGAAGTTGGTAGAGCCAGTGCTCTGGAAGGAGACATGAGTTCGCGTGTAGGCTTTCTTCTCGCCGTCTTGGGGAAACTTCTTGACACAGGTGATAGGATGGATGAATCTTGCGGCCTTGCTGCGGTCATCAACAGGACCTTTCTCATGATGAAAGTGATGCTTGGGCACACCTGCGGGCAGCCGGTCTCTGCGACTTGTCATGGTGGCCGCGAATCCGAGTTCGCCAAGATGGTCAAGGGTCTCATCACCAGAAAAGAAGTTGTCAAGAGTGATGTGGGGCTTCTCTCTGAAGATTTTACCATCGCCATCTTCCTTGGAGATCAAGCAGTCCAGCTTCTCAACAATCATTCGGACCTCATTAGGTCCCTGTTTAGCAAAGCCTGTCGGACGGTGGTGTAGAGTGTGACGATGGACGTATGCCCGAGGACGACAGCAAGAAGCATCAGAGGTCATTACGACTTGACCACCTTTGGTAACTCCAGGCTTCCCTATGAAGCGTCAGCAACAAAGAACAGTTAGACATAATTAATTGTGACATCACGCACGATCGCGACTTTTAAGAACCACCTCCTGACACTTAAAGACAAGGGACTTACCTACGATTCGTCGGACAACGCCGCCTTCTCCGTACCCCATGAACTTCCATGTCATCTCGTCACAGCACAAGTCACTCTCCGCATACAGTGTCAAGCTGTTACAGTTAGCAACGACCACTCTGTATGCCATGTCATACTTATGTGCAGGATCGTACAGTTCATGGCCACGAGGTTTGCTTTTGGCATTATCATTGAGCTTGATGATCCTTTTGATTTGTCGAAATCGATAGAGGCTGAGTGCATTCACAACGTCTTTGTCATAGCATGAACAAGTTGGGTCCCATAGACGGTAGACGGCACCCCTGCTGCCTCCATGAACGCCATCTCGAACCATGATGCCATGGAACTTCAGAAGTTCTGCCGCCAGGACAGGCTTGATAGTCTGGCCATACGAACCACCGTATTCCAAGGAGGCCGCATATTTCCTGGTGAAGGTTTCGACATCAAAGTAATACGCTTCGCGTGGATCCTTTGCAACACCAGACCTCTTTGGGTCACAGATAGGATACAACAGTTGGTAGAAGAACAGGGCATCGTCGCCATCCATTCGCGACTTGGTGAGGCCAAGCAACTTGAGTGTGGCAACACTCAAGCAGCCTTTGCGACTTTCCGGAAACATATTTTCCGTTGTTGCACCGCTTCTGAAGGATCCTGGTCCATCATCTCCTTCATCATCAGGAGTCCAAGGACCATAGTGAAACTCCCATCCATTGATGGTTCGCTTACCCCCTTCCGAAACAGGAACGGGTTGGGCACCAGAAGGTAGGCTGTGGCCTTTGTATTGCCTGCTCTTGTTCAATTTACCGCGGTAGATATACTCATTCCAGTTTCCTGGATTGTCGACTTCATCAAAAGGGACTTCACCATTGGCGACTCTTGGTTCAGTCGGTTGCCAGTTGGGAGGGATGCCAGGGATCTTAACCTCGGGTGTTAGATCAACCATCTCCATCAGAACGTCCTTCTTGGACACACAGTGGTCTTCTTCTTCACCTTCAGGTTTGCCAGCGATGCACAACTGATACATCCTATCCTCTATTGCTGATTCCGCCTCGATCATGAGGACCTGGAAGTCTTCTTCCCCGCCCATGCTGTTGTCGTCAGTTTCTAGTCGGTCCAATGCATCGTCATTGTCAGAGTCTACCAACTCTTCCAATGTATCTATTGGGGCATTGGATCGTTGACAGATTTCATTGCTGTCGTCCTCGTCCTCCTCGGAAGGAGGAAGAGTGATGGAGGAGATTTCGGAGAGAAGAGTTAGCCCCGCTGGCGAAGTATTGGCTCTCCGAACAACCACTGGAGGGCTCGAAACAAAGCCCAACGGAAGGGTAACATTGCCTTCTTCGTTTCCGTTGGGGTTGGTAGTTACAGTATGATTGGCAGTTCTTGTAGGCATGATACTTGTTGATGAATATTTTGATAGCCAAAATATGTGAAAAAGTCGAGGAGTTACACATTTTGGGCCAATTGTTTACGCATTATATTGGGTCCGTGCATAAACACTACTGTAAATATTGAACCAAAAGTCTTCTACTGCTTTCCCTACCACCATTCGAAAGCTTGAAGGATGGCGCACAATTTAGTAGTGAACAACACATTACTAGATGACTCATCTGAGGGAGATTAGAGGGGTTGAATTTGCAAACGTGGTGTTACGCACGCTGCGCGTACGGGATTGCTCCGACTAAACGATACCACAAAGCTTGCAACGAAACTTGCAACGGTGCGCTCCAGGTCCTTCTTTTGCACAAGACTCGGCTTCACATCCAGCACATGCACATTTGCCTACTTTTGCTGGCGTTGTGCAAGGTTGGAATCCTCTTGTTTTTTGTTGCCAAACATACCAATCAGCCGTGGACGTAAAAGGGCGTTGATTTCCACCACATTATTGGGGACACGATAACTTGCTACTTGATCCTCTTTGTGCTGGCGTCTGTTGAGTTCTTGCTGATATTATCATGAAGACAAAGGACCGTCAGAAGCATTATTTTGGCTCTCTTTTGTGAAGAACATGCTGTATGACATTCCTTCTTCATCTCCAGTTTCGACAACACTTCTTCATCACCTGACTCAACAATCAACACTGTTCTGTGATGGCTGGTCCATGAGGCTATCGATGCTTTGATTTGATACCGGTCGTTGTTTTGCTTGGATGCCTGTATTCTCTGCTGAGAAGATCACTGCCACACTCACTTGTTGCTGTAGTTCCAGATGGCCGATATCGTTGTCAAACCGATGACTGTTTGGAATCTTGCCTTTTGCAGCGAACCATTGGGTCCAGAAGAGACACGAAAAACTTCTGGTTTATATCCAAAATTGGATTGAGCCCAGAACACTAGTGGCGGCTTCTGTCACGACGAAAAGCAGGGATGTGGTGGAGTGGCGATACCGTTGTTCAAGT